GTCAGAAACTTGCATTAATGAGCCCTTGACAGCGTCTTCTAGTTTACGGTCTTGTTCTAACAATTTTGAGAACCTTTGGCTGCTGCCTTGACCTGAGAAACCTTGAGGAGAGAAGAGAGAGAGAGGGAGAGAGAGAGGAATCTTGTGAGGGGGGGCTTGTTGGAGGGGATTGAACACAAGGGTGCTTCAGGATCGCTGCTGCTTGTTCTTCTCGTCTAGAGTTTCTCCGTGTGGCAAGGGTCGGCTAGAGGTCAGGAGTGTAGCTTTGGTTGTGGTTCTCTGCCAGCTTCCAGGAGGAAGCAAAAGGAGTACGCTTCTCGTGCCTTGCCGGGGTGGGCAAAAAGGAGTTCTTGTGAGGGCTTCTCCGCATAGCCGTGGGGGCTAAAAGGGAGAGTCAACGTTTTTGTTAGTCAATACTTTGAGGGTGCCTCCAAAGGAGTGGGAACGTAGGTTCGAGTTGACCCGAACCACTATAAATTTCTCGTGTTCTTAACTTTTGCTTCCGCAGTTTTAATTTCCGCATCTTCATTTTTGTGGTTGATTTTTGGTTTATATGATTTTTTATTCCTTTGTGAAAAAAAAATTTAAAAAATACTAATCTCCCTCCCCCGCTACCCCTCTTGTTAGCCTATGTGGCCAAGTTTATAAAATACAAGTGTAATGACTCTCCTACAAGCATATCCGAGAAGATCATGGTAAATGTACTGGAAAAACACAAAACTTTCTTTCAAGCAGAGCTAATAAAGTTAGCAATTGTGTGATAGCCCTCCTATGGATGATAATAAGCTAGTTGCAATCCACAATGATGAAGTTTCTACAAATATGAATGAAAGGATTACAGTGAGTACGACATGTTTCCTGCCATCATAAATGGAAAATTCATGATGAATTTGAGCTCCTACAGTTCATTATAGCAGGCTCATCATACACATAGTAGCTCGTTCATAATTACTAGATGGAGACCTACCGTTTACACCACATACTACTTACAAGCAAAATATAGAAAATACAAGTTCCCACAAGAAATTGTTGGAGACTCGTTAGTGCACGATAGTCTTCCTGTATAAATAAATAACTCAATTTGTAATGCCACACCACTGGATCTGCCACACTTATACAAGTGGACAAAAAGCATCTACAAGTTCCCAAATAGAGTATTGTCCATATCCAAAAGACATTTGCACGTATAACTGATAAGTGTCAAAAAATTTAAAATAACCCCTCCCCTCCCCATACATGCATTTTAACATGCATAGTAATCATTTCATACATGTCATTCAATATCATATGATGCATTTTTCTATAATGGTGCATCACATTTACACACCGATGTATTGCACATGCACGCATTTTAACTTGTAGAGTGTATTATGAGAGCATATCATAACTACATGCAATTAGGAATGAGTAGATACATCGTAAACATCCTCACATAACATAAGTCTACCAAATACATATACATTATTGAATGAAAAACACACATTGTAAAACATAGAACATGATATGCAAGTGTATTGTCTAGCATGTAGAGTCTAGTGCATAGCAGTAGTGCACTACACTAATGTGTAGGCACATTATGCAATATGTAAATATATAATTCAACATACATGTATACATATGAATACACAAATCGCATCATGGATGTATCTATAATGTCATGCAAATGTATATGCAGATGTGTCACATACATCCATTGCATATGAATAATAATCATATAAATGTGTCATTCTAAAGGAATACAAAATTATATACCTTCATAGGCTCTAGCGAGTGTGTTGTAGGTATATACGTGACACTTGAGGCTGTTGTGCAGGTCAAGGAATAGACCTAAGTTTGATCCCAATCCTTTTACAAGAATGGATAAGAGTCAACATAGCTTGAACCATCAAATAAATATACGATCACAAGGTCGACTAGAATATTTATTTTATGCATTCATATCAGGGCCCTTAACAAGGAAAATTCACTAACAAAATTATAAAGCGACAACAAACATGATCCTTTGTCAACAATTAGATAGAGTCGACAAGGTTTAACATATAATCACAAAAAATTCCCCTTAAATATATGTATGGGCCCCGGTGAGCATGTTATGGGTACATATGTGACATCTAAGGATGCTACAGAGGTCAAATGATAGATTTAAGTTTGAGCTCAATCATTCTATGTGAATAGATAGGAGTTAATATGGTTCAAACTATTCAACAAATATACAGTCATGATGTTGATAGAGATATTCATATTACCTATAACCAAAAAATTCACTAATAAAATTATACATCTCACAATGAATCTGATCCTCTATCGACAGGTAGATAGAGTCGACAATGTTTAATCGATAAAGTAAAAATTATTCATAAATACCCCGATGATGGCCGTGTTGCAAGAAAATCTTAACTAGAGGGGTTCCCAAATATTCAAAATACCTCCCAAATTTTCAAATGCCTATAAAAATCTAAAAATACCAAAATATAAAATATTTAAAATGGGAGTTAATCATCAAACACTTAAAGTAAAAAATACTCATCCATCCTCCGTAATAGTTTGTCAAGATGGACAAATTTAAATATCATTTCAGATCACAAAGAGCTAACGTCTGGTTGAGGATATCACTAAGATTAATTCTCAAACAGTCTTTCTTCAGTAAGGACGTGGCATTGGTTCTCTAATCAGTGGTTTGGCTAGATGGCTCCATAAAGAACCCATGGCCTGGCAAGATCGGCTCCATGTGATTAATAATTATGACCACGTCCCTTTGACACAGTGGCTTGCTCAAATGATTCCACTATATTACAGTTACAGCTATAGCCCATATGCTCCCTAATGGCTTCAAATCCTTGAGATATGAATCAACAATATATAACCGATAAGGCATAAAGCTCTTTGTTAGCTAAAGTGGATTCAGATTTATCCCCTTAGACAAGCATTTATCGTAGGTCTACAAGGTACCCTTAGATGAAGCAATCTATGGGTACTGACAATGATCCTTCTGTTAGGTTTGGTCTACTACCTCCTCTGACTAAGTAAACTAGGGACCATGATGACCCGGGATGACTGAACCATGAGATCTTGATCAGGTCCATCATCCATTCCCCCACCATCTGTTTTATGTGCAAGATGGTGAAATGTCTAATTTTAAATATCAAGTCTCAAAAACTAAACCTATGATGCTAGTATACGTCAGATACCACATATCTATTTGAAGCTAACCTGAATCGAAAGTTCTCTCTTTATCGAGAGGGGTAATTAACTATTAGAGGCTTGTGCCCATATGAAACCTAAACTCAGATCTAAAGTCCTTGCAAAATGAGGGCGAAATCTTTGGGCGGTGTCTTATTTAGAACTAAATTTGCGTTCTAAAAATTTACCTTGAAACATACCAGTTAAAACTCTCCTCGACGACCCGAAAAGAAAGAAAAGGGGGTTCGCAGAGAGACTGGGGCTCGAATTTTTGGAGCCCACACATGAGCTTATTCATTTTTGTTGCATTCCTTGACTCTTAGACTTAAGATTTAGGATTTTTTTAGTTGTCTACTCTTTAATCGATTATAGATTATGACATTCTAGCCCTTAGATTTAGTATAGAAGACTTAATAATGCTTTAGAATATTAAACTCCTTAGAGAAAATATTTTAGAACCTTGTGATGACATGACCTGCCTTATGACAGATTATGTTCATCACTCTTGGATTTTTTATTATTGTCAATGGTGAAACCCCCAAGTCATAAAGTATATTAACAAATTGTTTTAAATCATTAATGATTTAAATGAAACCATCCTTAGATAATGAAATTCAGAATGATATGTTCGAAATGATAATTTGAAAAAATACACATTGATGAAATTGTCTCCAACTTGGCGTTCGCTAAATGATGTGATAGGTGCATTCATTAAAACTTAGGATTAGGACGTAGTTAGGAATACTTGTCCTCTCTACTTGCTAATTGATGTATTGATCGATTGAAAATATTGAGCTACGACTTTCTTACTATTTCGGAAGGCAATTTTTTTTAACTTAAAAATTAAAATTTTAGTCTTAAAGTAAAAGAAAAAATCATCTCAAATGATGTATCCACATCTCTTTTGTAAATTTAGACTTCGTTTGAGACATTTTTTTTCCAGCTTCTAAAAATAATTTTTATACTAAAAAATGCTTTAAAAAATAAAAAAACCATCCCAAACGAAATCTTAATATATTAAAACCACACGGCTGCTCAAATTTGAACCGGCTATTTACCATATAAACTAACGAAAATTATTCAATCGAGCTAGACTTGCTATAACTTTTTCCTTTAAAGAAATCCAAATCTAAGCTATTCTATTTTACCATGAAACTAGGGAGATTTACATACATATCACCTTATATTATTCTATTTACATACTTAACACTTGAAACTTTAATTTACATACATACCACCCATAATTCATTTTCATATCAAATATGAGTGATAGAAATAAAATATATTAGTGGTATGAAAGAAATAAAGTGGTATATTTGATATTAAAATAATATAGGATGATATGCATGTAATATTAAAGTTTTAGGTGTTAGATATGTAAATAAAATGTTATAAAATGGTATGTATGAAAATTTTCTAGAAGCTACATCTTTCACTTCTGAGGAAGTCCATAGAATACTTACCAAGTGCTCAAAAAGAGCAAATAGAACGAAATATTTCTGCCAGAAGGCCAAAAAAAACCTCCGCAGCCCAAATGAAAGATTAAAAGCTCAGCAGATCTAAATACAAATCGGCATGAAATTAACAATAAGATCAAAATAGACAAAAATATAAATAAATACACTCATGAGCAAATTACATATATCTCACAACGAGCTTTTCAGCTTAGGCGCAACACAAGTCAAATAAAGTAACTTTCTAATATAAATTTTTTTATTTTTATACTAATAAACTGCTTTAAGAAGCAGTAAAAAAACTATCCCAAATGAAACCTCAAACATGAAAGTTATATAATATATGTATGAGAAGGATTTATAATAGATGTATGAGCAATGCGCAAACTCATTTATTTAGCAGAACAAAATCCCATTGAATACAAAATGACCTTGGCAAACCTGTGTGATCTTCACCTAACTTTAAAAGAAAAATAATACGGTTTTTTGTGTACATAATGATAAAATTTGTACAGCATTATAGAAGAAACTAGAAACTCTCAAGAGGAACAAGAAAGCATACAGACACCAGGGCGATATGCCCATGCAGGCGGCAACCTTGCATATTTCTCCATTCCTGGTTGTTCATCATAAGGATTTTCCATTACTTTTAGAAGACGGCGAACCTCTTCATAATCTCCTTGCTCAGCTGAATCAATGGCCGTCTGGCATAGATAATTCCTAAGGATATACTTTGGGTTCACAGAGTTCATAGCAGCTTTCCTCTGCTCATCTGGGATGCCACTAGAGACCAACTTCATAATGCACATAAGAAAATAAGGTAATGTTAAATTAAGGAGCTGCTGAACAAATTTATGTTATCATGCTATATAAAAGATTAGTGATAGGAAAATAATATCTTCCTAATAATGATAAAGAAGCATTTAGTTTCATCAATATGATAATTCTATAGAACTGGTGACCTTTGAAAGATGATGGATGTTTTGAAGTTCTGAACACAAGAAAGAAAAAAAAAAACAGAAGTAATGGTTTACCAAATAAAAAATGGGGATTTATGTTATTTCTTTGTGGAATTTGATTGTGTCGATCAATTGTATTGTCCTGTTAACTCATACCATAATTTGGTTGGTCGAGCTTGCTAGGGGGTTGCGAGCGGACCTCCCGTTGCTTAAGGTTTGGGGCTGCCCTCGATTTTTTTTCACATACAGAGCCACGGAATTGTACATTAGAGCATTGTAACGCTGCGCACTTATGCACTTTTGGATTGTAGGATGCAACGAGGCGACATTGTAGTATTGATTTAGAGATAAACAGTGGAGCGCTATAGTGCTGCAAGTTAGGCTGGAAACATAGAGAAGCGCTGTGATGCCCTAAACCACGGCGTCGCGGCTCTACGAGTCTGGCTGGGCATTTTTCTTTCACGTTTTCATGTCTAACTTGAACAGTTGTGTACCTTCATATTGAAGTATACTTCTTTGTTATTCCTGAAATAGAGCATTCTGAAGAAATGAAGTGAGACAACGGGGGGTGGAGAGAAAGAGAGAGAGAGAGATTTGTACAATTTCTTACAATTTTCTTAATGAATTTCTTGATGAGGTGGGGCTCTGTAGTTTTTTTACCGATATTGAGTTTTCTATGTTAAATCCTAGTGTTCCTTTCTTGTTTTTTTTTTCTATTATTGTTTGTTTCGTTGCATGGTTTTACTTCCCAACAACTTATAGATATATCACTAGATTCTTATATATTTACATACATCTAAAATTTTCTATTTATTTATATAACACACTAGTGTCTAAATAATATTAAAATACATACATAAAAAGGCGTAATATTAATAATATTTTGATGTCAATTATATAAATACAACAACAACAACAACATCAAGTCTTTATCCTACTATGGATCCGGCTACATGAATCTTTTTTTCTCCATTGTGTTTTGTTAAGATTCAAATTCTCATTTAAATATAATAAAGAAAGATCATTTCTAATATTTTCTTACCATGTCTTTTTAGGTCAACCTCTATCTTTCTTAACAATTATATAAATAAATATTAAAATTTATATATTCGATAGGTAATTACAAAAAACTACAATGACATGCATGCAAATCACTCATAAGAAAACTACTTCTCTATAGCTCAAGTCAACAGGAGAATGCTTTAATTTCACATTTATTCTAGCATACGAAAATTACAAGGGATTCCCCATTCGGTGAATTGCTTTGTCACTTCAGTCGCATAAATTGGCCATAAAAGCAATCCTAATACACACAAGTAGCTGTTACGTATGTCTGCATTTAAGTGCAAGTGATTTAAGAGAGATGGGCTTCAATACTAGCGAGTGAAATATTAAAATAATAAAAAAAAAAAATATAGCGAGTGAAATATAACTTTTCTGATCCAAATGAACATAAAATCGTTGAATATTGATTTGCAATATATATTGCAAATGGTTAAAAACTAGAAATTTTATGTTTGCTAGGCTACGCATCAAATAAAACATAGAAATTTAAAAAAAAAAAAAAAGATGTACATTGTACAAGTCCTAATATCACTGAAGTTATTGATTATCAATACTTCTTCATTCAATTCAATAGGGGATTTAAAATATTTTAAAAATAAAGTTAAATCACTTAATTGGCATGTCGCGCACAACAAGGACCGTCGAAGACTAATTCCGAGACTCGACAATGTCCCGAAGCTCTTGGCCGTCCACTATTTTTCTAGCCGGGCGGGTTTGAAAGGGAAAGTGCACTCCCTATACCTCCCTTCGCGGAGAGGGGACACCAGGAGACTGCCGAAATTTGAAACAAATCAAAGGACCCTCGCATAATTAATTAAAAATAAAATTTTAAGAATTTTTAATTAATTTAAAATTAAAAAAAAAATTATGATCTGACTCGATAGGTGATACAGACAAAGTGGGCTTTTAATAAGGATCTCGCACTCCAAAAAATAGCTAATATATTTAAGCCACTAGCAAATCATAAATGATACTGATTTCTATTGAGATTCAAATAGACTCTACTGATGTTGGATTATCTTATCAAATATTCAAAATTTTAAAACAACATTAGTTCAAAAGCTCTTAAATCATTAATTTTTAAGATGACATCACATTGCAATATGTTTGAAATTAGATTGTTGAAAGAAGCTAAACTCTCGAGTGATGAGTGGTGAAATTTCCAAGGACCTATGCTAGTCTCCTAAAGATCTTGATCAAGAACATAACAAGATGATGCTCACAAGTTATACCCTTGAATGCCACATTCATATTTTAGGAGCCATGTTTTGATATTTCATTTGCACTTTTCCATGATGGTTACCCATTGTCCTATTAGAAAGAGGCATATTATGAATACATGAGGAAAGGCAAGGATCTTATTGATCTAGAAAACTAAGAGCTATGTCGCGATAATTGGAAGTTTGATGATTATTTGTAGACTCAGAACATCTGTAAATATAATACGATAATGATCTATTTGATTGTACACAAGTGAGTTAGGGTTAGGATTCAACCAATTCACAAAGATGTAAATCTTTTCAATATTTGATTCCAACTATAACTGATAAAAAGAAAAATGAAAGAAACAACATCTTTTGTTCAACAAACATCCTTACAAATGGATGGTCCTCTTATATCAGTTATATATGTGACTTCCAACTTCAAATATGAAGCATGTCATTTGAGGATAAAGGGTTCAATTTGTCAAAATCTATGATGGTTAGAGCTTTAAACTATTTCCTTCAACCCAAAGGCAAAATACAACACACTACAACTCACCTGTAAATGGGAGAAGTGAATTCGTAGTGCCAATAATGGTTATCCTACAGGCATGAACAAGAAGCTCGTACAAAATAAACCAGCATGTTTAGGGATAGTAGTAGGAACTTCTAATACCATATACACTTCATTTGTGGGTAGGAGTAGGGGATTGTTAGTGCACACAATTAGCTTATAAGCAACAATAGGAGATTCGTATGAAATGGTATAACTTATAAGCCATAACACGATTTATTAGTGCCTATTGAATAAGCATTCCCCAAAAGCCATCGGATCCACAACATTTACACAAGCGGACAAAAAACTATATCTTTAACAAAACTCCAATCTATATGCTGAAAACAAATCCTGCATGTGCTTCGACAAATGCAATAAAGTTACAAAAGCCAATATCTGAGAATGTTGCGCAGGTCAAATACTAAAGTTTGATCCTCCTCCATGAAAGAACTGGAGTCGACATGACTTGAAGTACAAAATGTCTCCCAAATTCCTACGAAAATACAAATGACTTCAAACTACACCCCGATGATGGTCGTGTTGACATGAAAACTCAATCAGAGGGGTCCAATCTCAAATCCAATAAAAGTCAAGAATTCATAAAATGAAATATATCAACAGAAAACTTAAAACTAAAACTCAGCCATCTCCCGCAACCGTTTGTCTGGGGTGATAAATTTAAAATTAACCTCAGTTCATAAAGAGCGAACATTATGTTGGGTGTGTATCACTAATATTCATCCTCAAATAGTCTCCTGCCAGTAGAGACGTGGCGCGTGCCCTCTGATCGGATAGTTTTGCTGCAAAATGGTACCATTATATTATGATCATAGTTTAAAATTGCGCAATTTGCTTCAAATTAGCCTCAAAGCCTACGCAATTCTCAGGCATCATGAGGCGTACGCCTTAGGTGGAGTGAGGCGCACCTCACTAGCGTTATTGTGCAATTTCCTTTGAGGCGTACGCCTCAAATATATGCTCAGTACCGCTTAGTACATGCTCGGTATATGCTCAGTACCGCTCAGTATATGCTCAGTACAGCTAGGTATTTGCTCGGTACTGCTAGGTACATGCTCGGTACTGCTAAGGAACATGCTCGGTACTACTCGGTATCTTTCCATACAGGTCGAACCCCGCCAGTGGGCAGAGCCACCTTGGACCCCCGGCAGTCCGACATATTGTTCTATTCATCATCTTTAGTAATAGTTGTTAGTGTTAGTCTACTTCTTCATGAGTGCATGCTTTGATTGGAAGACATTGGACTCTATAGGAGAGGAGGAAGGGGTGAGAAGATTCCCTTGAAGAACCATTTAGTGATGGGACATGGTTGGATTATATATGTTCTTTCTTAATTGTACTTTGGGGGTTTTGATAGACTAATATTTTGTGATTTTGTACTTTGAGACATGATTTTATTGCATTTATTTTCTTACATTCCCCTAATTTTAATTGTCATTTAGATGTTTTTATTGTATGATAGAATCTTACTATTTTTTACTTGTTAAAACCCTTAAATTCTCATTTACGCAATTCTTCGTCGGTGAGGCTTACGCCTCACACTGCCTCAAGGCTTACGCCTCGCCTCACGGACGAAAAACGCCTCGAGGCTTATTTACGCAATTTTAAACCTTGATTATGATCATAGCCAAAGCCAAACTCTATAAATGCAACATTTACACAAGCGGACAAAAAACTATATCTTTAACAAAACTCCAATCTACATGCTGAAAACAAATCCTGCATGTGCTTCGACAAATGCAATAAAGTTACAAAAGCCAGTATCTGAGAATGTTGCGCAGGTCAAATACTAAAGTCTGATCCTCCTCCATGAAAGAACTGGAGTCGACATGACTTGAAGTACAAAATGTCTCTCAAATTCCTACGAAAATACAAATGACTTCAAACTCCACCCCGATGATAGTCGTGTTGACGTGAAAACTCAATCAGAGGGGTCCAATCTCAAATCCAATAAAAATCAAGAATTCATAAAATGAAATATATCAACAGAAAACTTAAAACTAAAACTCAGCCATCTCCCGCAACTGTTTGTCGGGGGTGATCAATTTGTAATTAATCTCAGTTCACAAAGAGCGAACATTATGTCGGGTGTGTATCACTAAGATTCATCCTCAAATAGTCTCTTGCCAGTAGAGACGTGGCGTGTGCCCTCTGATTAGGTAGTTTTGCTGCAAAATGGGACCATTATATTAATGATCATAGCCAAAACTCGTATGTTCCCTAACGGCGTCAAACCCTTAAATAATGAATCATGGGGAAATTTTAATAGGTAAAATCCCTCTATCAGCTAAGGTGGATTTAGATCTATCCCCTTAAGAAAACACAAACCTAAGTCTACAAGGTATTCTTGGACGAAGCAACACATGGCTGCCGGCAAGGTGTCTTCTATCAGATTGGGTCAACTACCTCCTCTGACTTTGTAGATCAGGGATCATGACAGCCCGAGATGACGGAACCATGCGATCTTGATCGGGCTCGTCTTCATTCCCCCCACCACCAGTTTTAAGTTCATGGTGATTAATTACAAATCATAAGATCAAATTCAAACCCTAAAATTGTTATTATTATAAGCTGGTTTTATAACCTATGCGATCTCTTTAACGACTAGCCTTAATCAAAAATTCTCTCTTGTTATCAGGAGGGGTAATTAACTATAGGGGCTTGCGTCTATAGGAAATCAGAACTCAAATCATAAAGTCTTCATAAATTGAGGGTGAAACTCTGGGTAGTGTCTTATCTAATACCCAATCTGCCTTCTGAAAATTCACTCGGAATCTAAATCTTGTTAAAACTCTCCACCATCATCAAAAACACAAAAAAGAAAAAAAAGACATCTAGCACGGATAAAAGACTGATAAATTGAAATAGCATAAAAAGTTAGCATTATTTCAACCCGACAAAAATTGGATAACAAAAGCGCAGATGGCAACCATGATCCTGATGAAATCATACCTCCTCAATATAGGTTTGCATCCAGCTTATCCAAGCCTGCTTTCTCTCATTGCCTATATCTAACAGTACAGCCTTGAGAGGAATGAGAAGCTCATCTTCTGGCGTCTTGGGGTCTGCTTTGATATTTGAAAGCAGACGGAAGAAATTTGTGTAGTCAACTTTATCAACAGCCATGTTATTGAGAAGCTTACCAATCAAATGTTTGTTGTACTTGGATAGACCAAGTTTTCTAGTCATTATAGATTGATACTCGTCCATAAATTTGATTCCATATCTGTATAATATAGGGAGTCAAACTCCAAATCAAAACTCATTAGAGACCAACCATTCAACAAAGATAACATATATCACCTTTCCATAGCATAGTTTACTTCCTCTTGGCTTATCAAATTTGCAGCTGACAAAGTTGCAGTGAATTGTGCAATATTCCACAAGCCAACGTCCGGCTGATTTGCAAAACAGTACCTTCTTCCTGGGAGGTCTGTGGTATTAGGTGTATAGCTTGGATCAAAAGCATCCAAGAAACCAAAAGGGCCATAATCTATGGATAATCCTAGTATGCTCATGTTGTCAGTGTTCAGCACACCATGAGTGAAGCCAACTCCCTGCCATCCCGCAACCAGCGAAGCCGTGCGCTCAGCAACTTCAACTGACCAAGCTATTATGGGTCATGAAAATAAAGCATGGATTTAATTAGTAAAAGGTCCTAGTTATGTACATGGCATAGTTAAAAGAGAAAAGAGAATGCTACCTGCATACTTGTTAGATGTCAAGTCCACAGCTGAAGATCCTTCCAAACCGGCTCCAAAAGAAATATCCTCACTTTTACTCATCTTTTCTAGATGAGGAAAATGATGTCGAATAGTATAGTCTGCTAAAGTGTGTATAATATCAAGGTCTTCTTTGCCCCTAAATGCATGTATTTGGAATGAACCGATTCGCAGAAACGATTGAGCAACGCGGCAGACAATTGCACCAGGTTCGTCCTTCGAATTACCACTGAACGATTGATATCCATAAATTATCTCGTGAAAATGCTCAGAATATTTATAGCATTAATCATCATACATTTGAAGAAAATTTGGTATAATTTATAATGCAAATAATTTGAGAAGGCTCAAAAAATGTCCCAGCAAAAAAACACACAAAGAGGCTTACATAAGTTGGGCAAAGTATTATAATTTTTATATCATTAAAATCGTATGTAGATATTGAATAATCAAAAAATTAAGTATAATTTAGAAATAATAAATCATTTAATTAGGATTTGTGTTTAAAATTATTAATATTAAGAAGTCTAGAGTCGGGCGTCGATATCATGTTTCAAGCAACGGGAGGGTAGACAAAAATGTTGTCCGGTATCGACGTTGTACAATAGGCATCGAGCGTCGATATCAAGATAGAGTCGATCGTTTATGTTGAGATGATGTTGGAAAAAAAACGAAATGTCAAGACGACACAAGGGCATTGATTTTGGGTATAGAAATTGTTGGCGTCAAACTTTGATTTTTAGATGGTTTTGAAACATGGATGTTGTGATACGGTGGATGTTGATGTTGCGATGACATCAAATATTGTTGTAAAACCCTAGCTGCGATCCACCAAATATAAATGAAAATGAGAATATTCGAGAAATGAGGTATTGAGTGCAAGAAATTAATTTGAGATTGTTGAGGAAATAGGATATTTAATTTTTTCTTTTTTTATAAATAAATATATGAAATATAAGAAATTATATTAAATAAAGTTTTTTAATAAAATATTTAACAGACGCATGTCGGACGCGCATGTCCAATTTATTTTTAATATATTTTTAAATCAAGCATGTCTTCGGCATGTCGGATACATGTCGAAGGCGTATCGGATGCATGTCATGTTCGATACATGTCGGATCCTACATACCTCTTTGAGGATCAGTAACGGCGCATCATAGAATAGAACTCTTCATTTTCGGTACAGATTTTGCAAGCCTCTCTAGGATTAGATTATTGTTGTTGAAATGACAAAGCAAGGAAAATCACTCATGTGAAATAATTTTATCATTTGTATGGATGTACTGCATCGACGCAAGCAGCTGCCCGCCCCACACCACACAGACTGCCAACCCAAACATACATCAAACACATGCCTCCTAATAGTCCTAATCCAAGGAAGAAATATAGAATGGCATAACAAAAGCTGTAAAAAGATTTAAAAAATTTGCTTATGGATTATCACCACAAAAAAGATTTCCACAATATGCTTGGAGAGCACAAATCCTACAACTTCAACAACAGATATCTCAAAACCCAAACCAAAATCCGGCACAAATGTGACTGATTAAATGAATGAAGGAAGACCAGTGTATCATCATAAAGCATCTAAACAAGTGACTTACTCATAGAACATGTCCCTTGAAACAGATTTTCCAGTTGTGACCAGACAAAGAGCACGGGTTGTAGGAATTCCAAGGCCATTCATTGCTTCACTGCATAGGAATTCACGAATGCTGCTGCGCAGAACTGCAAGACCATCCGCAAACCGACTATAGGGGGTTTTTCCTGCTCCCTTTAGTTGCAACTCCCACCTCTCACCACGAGAATTTAGAACTTCACCTAGAGTGATTGCACGACCATCCCCAAGCTGACCAGCCCACACACCAAATTGGTGTCCGCCATAACATTGGGCATAAGACAATCTGCAAAGTTTACCCATAATTAGTATTGTCAAGGTAGGGGATAAGAAGTAAAAAGAAGTATAATTGACCCTTTGAAAATCTTACCCTCCCAACAAAGGCAAAGCCCCAGAAAATATGAGGGGAAAATCTGGCCTATGAAATCTGAAAAAGATGGTCAATGCAGGTGGTAAAGACATTTATTTCTCATAGCAAAGAAAATATGACGAAAATACTAGAAAATAACCTTGGCAAAGAAGCCCAGTAAAACGTTTATAGAGCATTGCTGAACATTTAAGAAATGATGATGACAAAGCAGAAAATATGCTCCAAAGCATGCAATACTCATTCCTAAATATGCTGTCTATTAAAAGCCCTCTATATTCAATGCAGGTGTTAAATACATTTATTTTTCATACCACACATTCATATTGAGTGCTGTAAGAGATTTTAACTTTATTTTTCCATGCGACATGTGGTCCACACAACTTTCTTTCTAATCTTCATGAATTTTATTCACTTGCTTATTGGAGCAACTTCTTCCCTCATTTGTACATTTTTCAAACCACTTAAGTATATATTTCACAACATTATTTTCAATAGGTGCTACTCCTATTATATACAACAATGGGGTTGGCTACATAAAACCTTTTTCTCCATTGTGTCATGTTAAGAGTCAAATTCTCATTTAAATCTAATAAAAAAAATCATTTCTTACATTTTATAACCAAGCCTTTGTAGGTCTACCACTACCTTTCTTAACATAAGCCAAATCTAATACATCTACTCTCCTAACCGATCCGAAGGCTTTCATTTTATGTGACCAAACTATCTAAGGCAACTCTCTCTAATCTTATCTTCCAATGGAGCAACTCCAACCTTTTCACGTATATGCTCATTTCGTATCCTATCTCTAAGAGTAAAGCCACTCATCCACCTGAGCATCCTCATCTCTACAACACTTAACTTAATACAATGCTTCTCTTTTAATGGCCGACATTCTGCACCAAAAAGCATTGCAGGTCTCACCACCATCTTATATTATTTTTCCTAAAGTTTGAGGGAGACTATCACAAAACAAGCCCGATGCATTCCTCCACTTCAATCATCCAACTTGAATTCAATTAATAATATCCACATCTATTTCACCATCACTCTAACAAATAGACCCAAGATATTTAAAATGTGAACTCTTATCAATGACTTGATCGTCCAAAGTCACAATCCCCCCATTAGATCTATTACTATCAAAACTACACTCCATATAATTGGTTGTAGATCTACTCAAACAAAAACCTTTAGACTCTAAGGTTGACCTCCATAATTCAAGTTTACCTTCAACTCCCTCTCTAGTTTTATCAACAAGAAGAATATCATAATCAAAAAGCATACGCCAGGGTACAACCTCTTTCAAATGTTTAGTGAGAACATCCATGACTAAATCAAAAAAGATACGGGCTTAAGGATGATCCTTGATGTAATCCAACTAAAATAGGAAAATACTTGGTCAAGCCACCTTGGGTTTGAACACTAGTAACAACTCTTGCATACAAATCCTTAATGACTTGAATATAAGCATTATTAACTGTTTTCTTATCGAGAACTCTCCATAGCACTTCTCCTAGAACTTTATCATGTGCTTTCTCTAAATCAATAAATATCATATGTAGATCCCCCTTATTCTCTCTATACTTCTCCACCAAACCTCTCAATAAATGTATACCTTCCATAGTAGACCTACCTAGCATGAATCTAAATTGATTTTGAGAAACATTATTCCTTGTTTTAACACACTTTATCTTAAATAATATTTTTTGTGTCACTCAACTTGCAATTGCTATTTCAACCCAGCACCAAATCCAAATTACATCAAAAGCCTTATTATAATTTTTTTTATAAAATATACTTTTAAGACTTCATATCAAAATCTTAGAATTTTTAAAAATATTTTAACCTCAAAATTACTCTTTAGTTGATAGCCGAAAGTTGGTCAAGTAGTTTTTAGAATATATAGGTGGGCGCATCCATATGTCTGTGGGTAATATATATATATATATATATATATATATATATATATATATATTACCCACAGACATATGGATGCGCCCACCTATATATTCTAAAAACTACTTGACCAACTTTCGGCTATCAACTAAATATTCTATTACACATAAAAATTTGAATTAGAATTTTTTCATCAATAATGCAATCAAAACCAATTCTTAGTTTAACAAATATCAACATAAAGTTCACTCAAAATTGAAGGATTTTGAGTCAAGTTGAGCAAGCTACACTTAACTATTTTTTTTTTTAATTGAGTCTAAATCAAGCAAGAATCATTTTTTCAATTTTGAGTTGGACTAAACTAACTCAAATTCAACTTGATATAAATCTTTCTTATGCTCATCATACAGTATTCCTATGATACTTCTCAAATTATACCATAGAACTATAACTTTCAAAGCAATATCTTTATCTATACCACAATTCTTTTTTAAATTAGATTCAAAATACACAAACCTATCACACATAGATGTGACATGATCTTCCAAAATTATTAATCGATACTTATTAATTTCACATCCACTTAAAATAAATTATCATATATTCAAACTTTATTCCACTAACTCCCCTTTAAATATATAATAAGATGTGGTGAACGGATACTTTAAACTCCAATCAAAATTGCCAATTTTTCCAAAACTATCCGTTATGTTCTATATGCACGCAAGTGAATGTAACTAACAACTACGACAATAACAAACAAAAATTTAGCACGTATACATATATGAGATAGATTTTCCTATTATTAATAGCCATGATGAAGGTACACTTCTTTTTTAGGTTTTTTTTTCCATGTCTACCATCTTGTGTGGCATTCAAACTCAACAGCATACAATTGATTTTCAAAGGCATAAAAATTACTTGCAAAGCATGTTTAGTCAATTTCCATACTAATGTAATCATTTATCAAACTTGCAAAATATAAGTGTTGATTAACCAAAATATAGAAGCCCACTTAAAAGTATAGTTTACCCATGTGTTCCATCGATTAAAACCATCAAATTTCTATTAAATATACTCAACAATCCAAGTATTTAATTCTATGCTATTTAAAGGCCACTCAAAAACACAATTTTCTTAAAATTTAAACCAACAATTGAGAAAATTTTGTAACATATAAATAATCATACAATTTTAGAAGTTCTAGAAATTGCATATGCCAAAGTTTTGATGTTGTTAGCAATAATGAATAATTTTGATCTTACATTAAAAGGTCATAATAGCAAACTTTTAATGAGAGGAGAATGATCATCCTCCTCCAAGTAGGACAAAATTCCATCTTCATATAACAAAAATTGAAAAACTAAAAAAAATTCTAAAAAGTAAATAATGTTAGAATTCTAATGAAAACAAGACATTCTAGATAATGGCTAGAGATTAGATGTTAATAAATATTCATTGCAACAACTACATGACAAAGTCATTCAGAAGTTAACTGTGTTGAGGAGTGACAGAGTGTAGATTGAAATATGATGAAGGGGAAATAACTTGAAAAAACTGAGGAACATACTCATTAGGTTCCAAGTCGAGCATCTTGGCAACTGAATCAGACCATGCAACAAGCTCCGGATTTTCTACTTCAGCTGATGGTGATACTTTGGTGTAGCAAGCATGTAGGACCTGAATGCAATAACAAAGGCATGATTGAATCACAAGCCCGCTAAAATGGTAACTCTTATCCTGTTGGAGCTAAAAACTTACAAACCTGGTGTTTAAGTTACAAGAATGACATACCATAAAGAAAAAAAATACTAAATAAAAAGGCTATGAACAGACAAAAGAACATAGTTTTCCAAATATTATAATGACTAAATTGATGCTGAACCTAAGTTGAAATATTCATAACACCATAAAGCATTAATAATACTTCAACATCAATAATACTATTAAAGGATATTATGATATTCTAGAGGATTCGAAGCTCCCTCCTCCATCAATAGCACGCTAACATCACGAGCTCAATTCTCGAGTGATTAGCTCCTAGAGCCTCAAAGTGGAAAGCAAACAAAAATAATTATTTCATCATATCATCTACCAAAAATAGAAACCTACCAGATGCTAAAATTTAAGCTATAGATGTTATGGAAAAAGTTGTGATAAAGATTAAGTCTAATATAAATCATGCAAAAAAGATGAAAATAAGCTGGAGCATTTAACATAATATAGATGACTGGTGAATAAGATTCATAAAGAAGAGAAAAATAGTTAGAACAAGGTCAAAGAGGACGAGTTTTATAGAAAGTTGTATGCTAACACTAGCCAAGACAGCAATCCCCGGGTGGAGAAAGGTAGCTGAAAAAACAAACACAGATGCAGCTAAATAGGAGGAACAAGCACCTCACGAGGCATAATATCGGACCTCGGATCGCAGGGCAACTCCCTTACAAACGAGTGATCCCAGTTCAGCTCCTCCAGCTTCAGGAGGGCGCCGTTCTGGCGTGCCCTATCCTCTCCTCCATCTTCGGCGCACGCTACCTTCTCCACAGAAGTTTCCATTGACAACAGGCCACGAGAACCTTCGCCAACCAAGCAGCCTAACCTGCCTCGCCGTAGATGAAGCCTATCCCTGCTCGCGGGAACAAGACGGTGCCTCCAGCTAGAATATACGCGCGTCGCCGAGATCCAGAGGGGTGGCCGGAGAGGGGGAATTGAAATCGAGGATTGCGACGAAGACGAGATTAAACAAGGGGGGAGAGCAAAGCGGGATGAAGACAACGTTTTGGAATAAGCGGCGATAGGGAAGCGGTGAGAAGGTACAGAAGAAAAATGGGGCATTTTCTTTTTTGCCTTTTTTCTGTCCTAGTAGTTTCTCACTACAGGTACAGGCTATCGCGTGAACAAGGCTTACCGGCTAGCTTGTCGGGACGGGCTCTATTTGTCATTTTTTTTTAATTATCATTTATTAAGTATATGAATATATGGCTAATAATTTTGAAATTTAAGTAAATTGGTGTGGATTATGTGTTAGGTCGATCGAAGTTTTTACTGACCTAAAGATAGTATTTCTTCGTCCAAAAAAAAAGTTTTGAAATACTCAAAATAATTCATTTATTTTTTAAAAAAATAAGTCTCAAAATTATTAAATATATTTAAAAATATTTTTTTTTTATAAATTTAAGTAATTCGTCATATATTTTATTATAATTGATTAATTTAAGCTTCATTTAAGTAAAATATATTTATTTAAATATTTATCATTTTTTTACTACATTTCTAAATAAATATTATATATATTGAGTTAATTAGTCTATCTTATGAGGAGTTGTTTAGTTTGATTTAAAATGTGTAAATTTGATATATCATAAAAAATTTATCTTGATTGGGCACGAATATTGATGCAAAATTGAGTTAGCTTCTAAAATTAAAATTTGGGATCATATGAACTCCAATTTCAGCAAACTTATAGTCAAACTGAACGTCTCAAAAATATGTATCCAAGACACCAAATTCTACTCAATTCGAGCCCAAATAGCACCCAATCGGAGACCCGAGGCACATTTGGAAGGTTCAAATCATAATTTGGATTAGCAAATGGTTTCCAAACATGACATGCTTATAATCGAATCTGAGTGGCTTGACGAGACAAATCTAACGAGCCGAATATCGCTGAATTATGATATCATTAAGACATTCAATTGCACAATAAATGATCCACAATCAATGGAATCATCATCGGACGTTCATTCAAACCACTCCCAATTTACTTTTGATCTTCCTATTATTTATTGGCCATGTTACTCTCTAAAACCTATAAATAACCCTTTATTCTTTATGAGTGTGGCGAAAATCCAAATAGGGGAAAGCTAGGAAGAGAAGGAAGAATGCTCTCTTACCACCAAACTCCTCAACCAATATCGAACTTCCGCCCTCCACCGGTTGTCACCGGACATATGCCAAGACATCGACTGATGTCCGACTTCAACTTGTCCATCGACTGATGTCAGTCTTCTGCCCGACAGCCAACTAATGCCTGACATCGGCTAGACCGCCAACTAACGTCGCACATCTATCAGACAATCAACTGACATTGGACTTCCACTCGGCTTCCAATTTTTATTGGACTTACACCCGGTTGCCAACTAATGTTAGACTTTCGTTCGAGCACCAACTGGCACTAAATTTACACGTGGCCTTCAACAGACGCTGGACTTCCACTTAACCGCAGACTATGGTCCTTCTAACGTCCATCACCCGACTACTATCATTCCGACCTCTATCACCCAACTACAGTATTTCCGACCATTGTTGCCCACCGACTACGGTCTTTTTGACCTCCGTTGCCAGACAATGGTATTGCCAACCACCGTCGCCCGCTACTACGATTTTTTCGATCTCTATCACCTGATAACTATCTTTCTAATATGTTGATTGCTAATTATGGTTCTTCTAAACTTCAACACCTGACAAAGGTCTTTCTGACCTCCTTCGCTCGTTGAATACAGTCCTTTCGACCATCGTCACATGAATATAGTTTTTCTGAACTCTGTCACCAGTTGACTATAGTCCTGTCTACCAAATGAATACATCAATTATGATTCTTCCAATTTCTATCATGTAACACACTCTGTATGATGCATATTTGTTGTTGCAATCCATAACCTATTTTGATGATGACAAATAATGTCGTTTGATTTACTATTCATTGAATACTTTTAATTTTTACTCTTGTCTGTGAGTACTAACATTTCGAGGAGATCACAAGTTACTCAGGACAACAAGAACACTCAAGACTGGGTAGAGTAGGAGTGTGAGCTTATAACATTATAATTTTTCATTTATTTTTATTTTTTCTTTCCTTAAGTCTGACCACAAATTGTATGTAAGATTGAGCAACCATGCACACACACAGGGGGCGAGGGTTTTAAAAATATAGATTTTTTTTCTCTGTTGATCGTACTATACAAGTTTACATTATAATGTACGATCTGATATGGATATAACAACTATCTGTGAACAAGTCCTGCTGTATGAAGGATATCGTACTATATGATGTGTAAATCAAAAACCTTAGCAGCCAGATAAATTTAAGTAAGTTTAATAACCGTTTATAATGCACGAACAAGCTCGTACTGTAGGATTTTTTTTTTTTAAATACTTACTTAAATTAACCTCGTGATTAGTGGATAAATCAAGGATTAATGTCTGATTGGTTATCGTACTGTACGATACCATTTCAAACTGTACAATCAACCGAGGCTATTTTTTATCGTCCTGGTTTTCGTACTAGACGATCCCTTGATTTTGACTAGTCGTACTATACGAAGTAGTTCATACCTTATAATGTACAGAGACGAGTTTCATCATCCCAGAAAGCATATTGTACGAACATAAGGATTTCACATATCGTACTGTACGAATTTATATCGTATTGTACGATTGTATTCAATTTTTTTGCCTATTCGTAAACTTTTGTACCAGGCTGATGTCCATTATGAACCAATCGTACTGTACGATATTGTATCGTACTGTATGATCCTAACAGCTAATTTAAAAATTTTAGGGTTTCTTGGAGCCTGATTTAAGTATCAAAACTTCTATTTTTGGGTGTGTAACTGAGAGGGAGGAATGTGATTAGAGAGGGATTCCTTGGGAGAGAGCTCTTGAGAAGATTTTAGGGTTTGTGAGAGGAAGGGAGAAGGTGAGCTTAGTGAGGGAGAAGGAGTGTGAGGGAGATCATATGGTTGCTCCTAGCTTGCTGCACTTTGCTCCTCCTATGGCCCGAGAAGATCTTGTGGGAGGCTCTGTAAGGGAGAGTTTATTCTACATCCGTGTCCTCTAAGGTACTGTACCTTCTCTAGGAGAGAGAAAAAAGATAAGGTATGCTACTGTCGCCAGGAGGGTAACAAAGCACTTGGCACTCCACCACACCGGGTTGGTGAAAGTGAGGTTTGTAAGGGCTTCTCGGCCTTGCCGTTGGGAAAAGGAGAACTATTGTTTCGTAATTAAATTCCCGAAGTGGAGGACTCTGGGGAGTGGACGTAGGTCAAGTGATCGAACCACTATAAAATCTCTGGTGTGATTCTTCCTTTACTACTTTTTATTTTTGCTTGCATTTTATTTTCATTATAATTGCTTGGTGAAAATAGTTGTGAAATTCATTGTTGCAAATTGTGTATCAAGCACTCACTTTCGCATTAGTTAAATTTTGATGTTTAAATTTTTAAGACAACAAAAATAATAGAACTCCTTTTTAGAATTTTTTTATTGCAACAACTTTTGCAACTCAAACCCCACCCCCCCCCCCACCTCGCCCTCTTGGTGCATCTCGGAACTTCATTTGTTACATCAAACCAAGGCCTTCCCCCTAAGGAAGGCCTCATTCGTAATCGACTACAAATACTTGTGCATTCATTCAAACTGGGCCAGGCCCCATGGTTTTTCCTACTTTTTTGGAGTTTCTACTAAAAAACTCTAGTGTCTCTTATGAACACTGCATCCTCTCTTTTATCTTATTGTGTGTTGGTTCTTCATACAAAGCTAAGATGTTAAACTTTATATTTCCCTAGTGTCACAAATATTTAAGGACACAACAAATTTATTTAAATGCCGGAGTTTTAAAAATATTGATATTCAATTTAAAGTAAAAGAAATATAGAGTATAGTTTTAAAATATTTGGAATTCAACCTATAATCTTATTTTAGAGGAAGAAATCATTAAATTTGACCAATTTCAAAATCTAATGTAATATTTCTTTTATTATTATTGCAAATTACTATCATCCCTGCCCCTAGTCGCCATCACTGCCCTAGCCACTGTCACCACCTATATACTAGTGTCATCATAGTGACCCATTGCTTGTTGTTGGCCACCCATCCCCTTTCTATCTTCTGCCATCAGCCAATGCCTGCAACCTAGCTCTTGCTACCATCACCAACTGGCAACTAACGTCGACTCGTGCCACTCGTTGTCTATCATTTACCACCACTTTTGCCACTAGTTTCCTACCATCACCATCTTTAAACTTTATATTGCATTAATTTTACTTCTAGTAAAACAAATAATAATAAAATAATAAATGCATACAATTATTTTACATTTAATTTCATGTGCAAATATTTCAAATATAATATATGTATTTTATATTGCATTCCCTTAGTTTGAAATTATATTGGATAGTTTTTTATTTAAACTTTAATAATTTATAATTTTATGACAAAACATTCATGATGGTAGAGAGATAGTGGTTTTACATCCTAGATTTGCATAAAGATTCAACACACACACGAGATAAGGGCGAGGGGTGCAAAAGTTATAAGAGAGACTAGATTTTTTACATGGAAAACCTTAGAAAGGGAAAAACTACAAAGCATATCAAATTTAAAATAATTCCACTAGTATTTGAATTTGGTTACAAGTGAAATATTTCCTCAAATAATGGCATTGATAAAATACATATTATATTGCTGAAGTTAGGAGATACATTTGGCAAAAATATTGAATAAATCTAAGGCTTCATTCGGGACATCTTTTGTATTACTTTCTAAACCAGCTTTCTAGTACAAAAATTTCTATAACTAGACTTGTTTGTACTAGAAATGTGCTTTTGAAAAAAAAAAAAAACTATCCCGAATGAAGCCTAAGTGTTGAAGTGGGAAGTTAGATTTGATGATGATAAAGTGCAACAATCTTATTAGAGATGGTGTACGTTAGCATTATTGGTAATGATAGGTGATGAAGCAAGTAGGAATTAGAATAGTCATGTGATAATAGCCAAAAGATTATAAGTTAGAGGATTATAGTTATACATATGATAATGGTCAAAGGACCATATTCGATGACTGATGAATTAAGGTTAGAGAACCATAATCGATGTGTGATGAAGTTCAAAGGACTATAGTCGAT